GCTGATTTTTAATTGGTTAGCCCCGCCATAGGGGGTGAAATTAAAAGCACTCAGAGCAGCTTCAGGCTATAGCCGGCTGTTTGATGGGCCGCTAGCTTGCCAGACTCAAAAGTAGTCTGCTTTCCATATTCTCCACAGCGGGTGTTCTGTGGGCTAGCAGGGATAGTCAGATCCAAAACAGACTCTTCTCTCCTAACTATGGCTTGATTCACACAGTAAATGGGCTCAAAAGCATAAGCAATATAATTTAGGCGCTTCAGTGTCGCTTCAGCTTCGTCTTCCATCAAACTGTTTTAAGAGTTTTATGATTGTGTTGTGTCTCCAGTGTAGCTAATGTATTCAATGGCTAGCTAAATCATTGACCGACCCTGTGACATCACTGTCACTGGAGTACTGCAACATTTCAGTGACCTTGGTAAACAAATTATAAAACAATGTTTTGTTTTCTATTTATACTTTTCACATTCTATATATAATTATCGATAAAAGTAAGATACAATCTTGTGAATTAAGTAACGTTGGTTGACTGTTTCATTTTCTCTTTAACAAGAAACAGACATTTTGCTCATCTGTCTTTCCAAATCTGCCTCCTTCAGACTGAGTTAGACCGACCTGAGTTAGACCGATTCACCAGGGGCTAAATACGTTTGGCTGATATTAGCAACGTTTTCTTGTATGGGTATTGGCAGATATACACATGAGTTAGCTGATTCATTAGTGCATTCAGCAGCTATGAGATCAAGTAAAGTGCATGCATTGCCGCTCTCTCCATTTGCTATCCATGTAACACTTATTTTATTGTTGAAGCATGTTTATTTCATTTCAGCAGGGATAATTTGTAATACTTGTCATCACTGTGTCATTTCTATTATTGGATTCAAAGATCTTCTTTCTCTCATCTGGGTTATTTTTGTTTTTACTACAGTAGTAGCCTTTCAAAGAAGTAGACTTTCTTTGATGGGTCCTTGGCTGGTCCCCTACAATTCGTTTTTAAACCCCAATATTTGTACCGAAATATTCTTTCTGTCATGATTTGTGGACATTAATATCTAAAGAGAAGCATCATCTCCTGGTCAGACCCTGTAATTCAGGGAAAGGGTGGAGTCAGAATAAAAAAATATGCAGGAGGGGGTCACTCCGGTGGCTGGAAGTTGGACGGGATTTTGCTGGGAGTTGCAGGGAAGTTGGGTGCCATTCGGCTGGTGTTTGACTGGGAAGGGCCATTTTGAATGGCTGCTAATGTAAATACTAATTTGGCAATTTTATTATTGATTATTTTTGGTCACCATGTTGTCTGAGAGGAGGAGCAGGCCAGGAAGGATGCTAACAGTTTAATTAATAAGAACATATAAACCAAAATGAGAGAGTCCCTATATAGGTTTTGGCAAATTGAAACCAGATCTCTTATGGCTTTCTTGTAGAGGACTGATGAAATCAAAGAGTAGGTCCAGGTTAATCGTATGGATGTAGCAGGTTAATCTGCTGCAACACATTGAGAATGTCCAGAGGTGACCCCTGAACAAAGGTGGAGCTTTAAGGATTCAATTGCAGAGTAAATATAAGCTAATTTTTCATCTTTGTAAAATATGTCATAATATTCTTAGCTTAACCAAGGCAATAAAATAAAATTGAGTTTGTGGTTATATAAAGCTCAGAGGGATATGAACAGTTTAGTGAGCCACTGCATGTGGTGTATGCCTGATGGACACAGCCTATTCAGAGCAATAAATCAGGATATAAAAGGCAAAACAACGGTGAATGCTTTAAATCATAGGCTCCGCTAACCTGGCCACTCCTCCGTAGTCGAGGCCTTCTTCACCTCTGAACTTCACCATCAACCGTTTCCATAGATCCTTAGGCCTCATCTTCATCACCTGCCGATATGATTCCTGCAAAACAGACACACATCATCAAAGTCGGTTAAATATCAAAGGAACACCTCTTTGTGTCTTACTGAAGAGTTTAAGGGATGATCAAGGCGAGTCACGGATTCAACTTTTCTAATCAACCAGACCTACCTCCTTCTGAAATTAAAAGATCAGCTATGACTGTGTGCAAATGCATGACATTTGACTAATTACAGTCACAGCATACACACATTCCATTATGCTGCTATAGGCTTGAGCTGCTGGAGGACAAAGGGACAACTTCATATCATTCTGCCTCTATTCACCACTTCTGCAGTATTTGTCATTTCAACCCCTTACTATTTTATTCTCATCATAGCAGCTGAGAAATACCAGCATGGCTGCTGCCTTCAACGACCTTTGCACAAATACATAGCTATGGGGTCAGCTTTTACCGTGACTAACTGTATGTGCTCTTTTTCATCCTCTTGACATGAAAAACGGCTCAGAGATAATCTTTTTTACCGTTTCTTTCCTAGTCAGAGCCGCTTGAGGAGGTAGTTTACTATTAACTTTTCCGACATCAGTGTTTCTAGGTTTGTTTTTTATGCCTGCTTCAGTGTCTTTGAACCCCTAGCAAGTCTTGGCAGACGGCTGCCAACACTGAGCCTGGTTCTGCTGGAGGTTTCTTCCTGTTAAAAGGGATTTGTTCCTCTTGACTGTTGCTGCATGCATCCTCAATGTGAGGGATTGCTGTTTAGTCAATGACAAAAGCGAATATCTACTGTCACCACATCGTCAACCAGGAGGAACATGTTCTGCAAGTCAATGATTCCATCCATGGATGTTGGATTGTAAAATGCCTGAGATTACATGTTCTGAGTCTGCATTATACAAATAAACTGAATTCAATTAAATATATATATATATACATATATATATACATATATATATATACAAAATGAGCAGTATGCATATGAACAGCTAATTTTATCATTACTAAATTAAAAGGCAGGCTTCAATTCTCCTGCAAAGGTAGAAGCAAACATTTTATGCATATATTGTTTCATGGCAGAAGAGCTGACTACTCAGGCTTTAGGATGTTCTTTAGCTTGATCAGAATGAAAGCTTTTCAATGTTAAAACTGGATTATGTAAAAAAAAAAAAAAAAAGGAAAAAAACCCCACTAGCATAATGCAGAACCTAAAGTCTACACCATTTGACTAAGACGGATCTTCAGAGATGTTAACTAACCCTTTCCTCACACTAGACTCATTTATTTCTAGGATGGAGGGAAGGTCAACCCTAATGATCCTTTCTGCAGACCTTATAGTTTGTCGCTTCACTGCACACAATGAGTGAAACAGGTGTTTTAAGACGCGCTAATTAAAATCAAATGTTTAGATCATCCTTGTTAAAATGTGTCATTGTCAGCTTTCACCACAGTAGCTCTGATACGTTGAAAACTTGGTCAGGGTGGCCGCTTTCTTGGAGCTGCATGCAAATGAGCGACCGATTCGTGCAACATAGCACGGTACATGTCTCCAAGTCCCTTTTTATCTTGTATGATTGGTGATTTGTCACAGTGTTCAAAGTCCACAACATCACAGCTTCAAGTCTGGGCCTACGGTTGAACATTGTCTTCAATGCTTTGTGCATCACGTTTCAAAATATACAACTCGAAGGCCTTGATTCCCATCTAACTGAGCTTCAAACATCTCTTGCTCAAAATACACAGAGCCTCATATACATCCTCTGGTACTTGGCCACATTCTAGTAGAATTTACACTTTTCCCACGTGGTCTAAGGCAAAGCTAGATCTCCTCTGAGGCGAAGATCGCCTTTATTGGCTTTGCTATCAGGGCTGAGTGATGTTACAGCAAGAGCCGTTCTGTAAATTATTATGTGAATAAAAATAAGAAGCAAACTTTAGCAAGTATCATCATATTCGGGAAAAATCACTATCATAAAATCCTATTTACGGTATGAAAGACTGATTTAAGACATTTTAATACCAATTAAGACTTTATTTTCAGATTTATGAAATAACGGCAATTGTGCAAGAAGCCAGAAAGCTCCAGTTCAGTGTCAACAAGAGTAGTTTTAGATTTTAAACTCTACTCTGAGGCTGAGAGCTCTGCACCTCTGCCAGTGTTCTCCACACATGCAGACAGCTTACAGTGTTAAGTGGGAGGGCTCCTTTTAAGTGGATTAGAGGCATTTATAATAAACACAAGCATAAGACTCTAATAAGACTGCCTCTTCCTCTGCCAGGCTCCGCCATGCCCTCAGGATGGAGCAGACAAACACATGGCTGGGAGAATGTCTTATCTGCTCCATAAAAATAAACTCAGACACAGCTGTGAAAGTCCACCACCAAACAGTTTCCTATAGAGGCATAATTTACTGCCTGAGTTGGTCTGGAGAAGCTATGCAGTTATGTCTCTCTGAACCTTAAGACTTGCTCTACCCCCCCAGCCCCAACACTCCCACCCTCCCACATGTTGAGATCAGCCAACAAAAATGTCTTCGCTCAGATTAACAGACGCGGCTGTTCCAGCACATTCCAGCGCGTACTTTATGAGGGTCATGCAGTCTGCTGCAGGTGGTGTTGTTCTGGTGAAGGCTCTGCACCTCCTAGATGCAGAGAATGAAAAAAAAAACTCCCAGAAACAACCCTAAAGCTGCCCCCGCTGAGAGAATCCTCCTCGGATGGAGAGGTCTGGTTTGGATTTGGAGCAGCCGTACCGGCGCACATCATAGATAACGATGAGTGAGGGAAACATTCTCGTAGCCAGACGGCGCAGGGCATCGACCTTTAGTGGAGATCGTAAAAAAAGAGCAGCGGAGGAGGAGCTGAAAATAAGCTTCACTACAAGCAAATCTTTCAGGTGCACTGATAAGATATACCGACTGCTAAATTTAAGAGGGAAAAAAAACACACAAAAACAACGTCAGGATAGCAGGGATTCAGGGAAAAAAAGCTGTTCCCCGTTTATTCCAGGGTTAACTACAATGCATTACTAAAGTATTCACACCCCTGAATTTTTTTTATATTTAACTTTGTCACATTACAACCAGAGACTTTTTTGTTGGAGTTTATTTGATTTACCAAGGGGAATTAGCATAAAAACTGAAGTGGAAGGACGACAACTGAAAAGCATTTATTAGAAAAAAGCAAAGAGCTGCAAAGAAGAAACATGCAGTTAAAGCTAGACCAACATTTTCCTGTTTACTCTGGAGACGAGGAAATCTTCCATCATTAGCACGCTGAACGCTTAGTGAAACACGGGGGTGGAAGCATCATGCTTTTCTTCAGCAGACAGGGAAGCTGGTCAAAATTGATAGGAAGATGAATGTAGCAAAATAAACGACAATTCAGTCTATAAAACCTGTTAGAAGAGGCGACAAGCTGGAAAATGAGGAACAGGTTCACCTTCAATTGAGACTATGACCCTAAATATCCATTCAGAGCTGTTCAGAGTTCAGAACAAGGCCTGTCTCTTCTAATGCTACAAACCGTACGCGCTTTTGGCAGCAAAGAAGCTTCAGCTGCTTCATTTCTTATGCTTGTCCACATAAAGGTCAGACGCGTCCAGTAAAGCTGGTAAAAAAGTAGTATTAATATATTTTTAAGCAAGAAAGTAAACCTCAAAACATTGTCTGTGCAGTCAGTTAATCAAGATTATGATCCTGCCTTAAAATTTTGTGTTTGGAAAAAATCCTCTTGGAGAAGACTCAAGAGGAGTTTCTCCAAACACAAAATCCCAGCACATTTCAGACCAAACAAGACCCTTAGAGAGAGACTAGTGCATCCTAAGGACAGAACCTCCAAACCTAAGATTATCAGAGTTGTATATGCAGTTAAATGCACTGAGGAATGCTCTGATTTTTATACTGGAGAAACCAAACAACCTCTAGACAGACACATGGCCCAACACAGACGGACTACCTCCTCCGGGCAAGACTCTGCGGTACGTCTACACCTTAAGAACAAAGGACATTCTTTTGAGGACTAGAATGTTAACATTTTGGACAAAGGAGACAAGTGGTTTTAAAGGGGTGTGAAGGAAGCCATTTATGTTAAGAGAGAAAAACCAACCTTAAACAGAAGGGGTGGACTCCCAAAAACCTATAATGCAGCAATAGAGTTGATTCCTTCTTACGATCATCCCAACCCCCATCCCCATGCAGGGGACCAAAACATCTTGCCTGGTCAGCCAGGCTAACGATGACCCTAAAGACTCCCTTTTCAGAGGCACAGGCCAATATTGGGGAGTGCAGGCTAACAAAAACCTCAACGACTCCCCGTTCCTAAGGGGTGGAACTGTTCTTCCGGTTCAATTTGCATGTCTTCTAAGCCAAAACAAGGCTTTGTTTGGGCTACTCTATAAAGCTTGGAACTCAACGCTAATCCAGACATTTTGAATTGAAAAAGCTTCCTGGGTGGGAAGTGAAATGTCTTCGAACTTGGAAAACAAAGTAGTGGTTTTTCTTTCAACTTTTTTGGTTTTCCTTCACAACTATGCTATTCTGTGCCGATTTATCGACAACTGTCCTGTAGTTTTCACATGATTTGAAAAGCCTTAAGGGTATAAATCCCTTTCTAAGGCACTGGATGTAGCGTTCTGTGAATACAGTCCCGGCTTTGTAAGCTTTAGATGGTATGCTGACCTCAAAGATCTCCTCACGGGACACCTCGATCCGACAGTGGCCAGCCTGAGGCTGCTGCTGGGACAGCTCCTGACGCAGGATCTTGAGTTTCTGAACGAGGTCTCTCTTGTACTTGGGGACGGTGAGACACTCTGCCTCTTCTGGGAGCTGGGCGGGGGACACCAGAGCCTGCTGGGCCTGATCCTTCACCTGGTTCTGACGACTGGAAGGCGTCAGAGATGGAAAAGGAAACAAGAGGGACAGAAAGGGACAAGATTAAGGAAGAACATGTTGAAGCAGCAGTTTCATTTACAAAACTATATGCTTCCGACAGCCTTTAATAACCTAAAACTCATTTCTAGAAATACATTCTATTGTTTTTACTAATGTATATTGTATGTAACTAGAGAATCGACATGTAACCTCTAACAAGCACTGCTACTTTTAAATAAGAACAGTGGTCTGCATGACATCAAGTTAAGACAAATGTCAGCCAAGATTCACCACTTATTTTAAAATCATTCAAAGGTTTTTGCTTTAAAGAGGCAATAAATTCCTTGAACAGTCAAAGCTTGTCTAAAATCTGCTGGATTCCCATGTAATTAAGCCTCAAGGTACTATAATAAATAAATGCCAAAGTATGCATTATTTATAACGACCAGCAGGGGGCAACTAAACCAGACTAAACATGCTTCAGTTTTCAGCCAAACTGGGACCTTTTAAAAAGTCATCTGTAGGAGAAAATTTAAAATAAACAAGGTAGTGAAATCTGCTTGTTTATACGCCAATAGTAATATATAAAGAGTATTAATAACCCCCCCAACCCCACCATTAAGGCTTATATTATATCATAACCTGGTCATGAAACTAGTAATGTACCAACCAGAAAATCAGTGGTGATTTTTTCAGGTCACCAGTGTGTAAAATATTCCAATTTCTCTGCAAAACCAAAATTTAACAGAACATTTTGACCTCTCTGGATATTCTAAAACAATAAACTGAACAATTTTGCATTTTATTCCCTGCTTTATCAGATAAAGGAGATTATAGTACACCAACACAATAATGCAGTTCTCCGTTATTGTGCACCTCAAATATTCAGGTCTAAAGAGAGTTTTATTTTCTAGTTGATTTCTTGGTGCGTTTATAATTGAAAGCAGTTCTATTGCTTAGGAAACGATCTGCTGATAATAATAAAGTAGATACAGAAGACAATTTTTCAACAGAGAAGACACAGAGAATCGTATGCTGCTCACTGCAGCAACCTGGGAGTTAAACACATTAGCCTCTGATTCATGTCCTGTTAAGCTTATTGACTTACAGACAGCTGCCACTATGCATGCAGCTGTAATTAAATAGAAAAGAAAAAACAACTAACTGGAAGTGGTAACAAATGACCTCCAGACAGAGCACAGTCGTTTAGGAGCTGCTTTAGACTCTAATGAACCCACCAAACCCATCAGACTGCATTCCAGTTCACCACAGCACCGTATTCTCTACAGCAAAGCCCCTTTTTGGTTTCTGGGGTCTCTACAGCAGAATCTAATCACTTCCTGCTACCCCAGAAAGCCACATGGCCCAATAAGATGCAGGAGAGCTCCTCACAAATCCCTCTATTTCCTACCAACAAGAAGGAGATGGGAGGCAGACAGCACCCAAACACAGCAGACAGCTCAGAGCGCGGGAGCATCTCTCTCCTTCTGCACTTTCACCCTTAAATTAGTCCTCTGATCTCCTCCCAGCTACTTATTAAAGAGCATGCCTGAAACACGTTACCTGAAAGTCCAAAGAAACTCAATTTGATCAATCACAAACATTTCCCTCTGGTGACAAATGCAATCCTGCAGAAACGGATTCGTTTACCTATTGGATGCCGACCTGGACCAGAAAGGGGGCCTGGACTCAGCAAGACAGCAACAGCACAGGGACGTCTTAACCAAAGCCATGCAGGGCTATAAACTGCAACTTTGATGGACATTATATATATCTGACATTTTTGTGGGATGACGGCACAGGAGAGGTGAAAATGGCTATAATCTCCGGCCTGATAAAAGGCAGATGTCTTGACAGAGAACCAGGAGGACCGATATATTTTCCAGATGTTTGTCACAAGCTAGACAGTCCCTTCAAAGTTAGCTCTGAAACTAAACAGAAAACGCAATAGATAATGTTATACAGAGTTAATATAAACAGAAAGAATTGATGCAGACTCCAGTTAAATCTTGTTACGATTTACAAACTCTGGCTAATGTTCCTAATATTGGTGAAAGACATTTCCTCCAGGATGGAACCGAAAAAGAAAAGCTCATGCGTGAAGAAGGAAGCAGAGAAGATACAGAGCTGTATGCTTTCTAGTTCTAGTAGAGATTGCTAATACAGTTTAAGAATCTAATCTCTGATGTATTTCCTACCAAATCTGATCATTTGATTTTTAAGTTTCATAATAAAAATGAAAAATTTTGCTTTCCAAAAACACCTTTCGGTGCTGACCTTATTTCAAATAACTGACCTTTTAATTTAATTCCAAAAGAAATTAAAGCTGTAGAAAGGCTGGAAAAAAATGTTTCACAACGAACGATGAAGATAACCAACTACATTTTTGCATCTATCACACAATCAGCTAGTTTAGCAGTTATTAGAAAACGTCTAAGTAGAAAAAGAGATGAACTGATGCCACCCTGAGCTACGGAAGCCCAAATGTCCATATTTTCTGAAAATTAAACCTCCATAAACAGAAAATTCGATTCATCGATTTCATCAATTAATCAGTCAGCGTTTAGTTATTGTTTATCCACCAAGGAAAGAAAAAAAAACTAAATTTTAGCATGAAACGCTTTTTAAAAGATTTATTAAGTCAGAAGTATATAAATTTATACTTCTGACGCATAGCCTCTGCAACTGTCAAACCTGTTTCTGTGCCACGCCCTCCGCGCAGAGGCTCTGCAACCGTCGCCGCGCACCTCAAAAAAATCCTGACTACGCAAACCCGTGCAGACCTCAAGGGGAAGTGTGTAGACGAAAAGCCGCGTTGATTGGTCCTTGGTATGTCTTTCCGGCTGTCTATGTGGTCGTCCTTCTCGATTCCACTGCAAAAACGATCTAGAAATAACTTAAAATTTCTTAAATTAAGTGTATTCACCCTTAATTTGAGTAGGTAAATGAGATAGTTTGCCAATGGAATGAGTAATTTTATTCTTAAAATAAGATAATTAGATAATATGCACTTGAAATAAGACAATGCAATTGTGTTTTCTTATTTTAAGTGTAAATTGTCTTGTTCTATTGGCAAAATGTCTCTTTTACCTCCTCAATTCAAGAACAAATGCACTTATTTGAAGAAAAAATGACTTATCTAGATTTAGATTTTTTGGAGTGTCGGTGCCAGGGCGCGCCGTTTTTAGAAACCGAGGAGAAATAACAACAATGGATAACCACGACGAAAGCTTGATCGAGGAGGTTTGGAAGTTCAATCACTTGTACGATGCCTCAAATATGTTGTCTTGGAAAATAAACACTCCCGCCGGCGCCGCCGAAGAAGTTCTCGTGACCATCCGCCAAAGTTCTCGCGACTTCTCGAATAGGCTCTCCCTTCCGCTTTGGCGGTAAACTGATGTGCGTCCCTAGAAATTCCAGACCACCATTGCAGAAGCATAACAGCAAAACTGGTTCGCAACCAGACGCTAGTGACATTTGATGTGTGCGGTTGCAGAAGTATAATCCGCCCTTTAGCCTATGTATGTTTTTTTCTGTGGGTTGCATCTTTTGACTTTAACCAAAAATTGTTAATCAAGAAGCTAGCTCATGGGTGCAGCAAATGTAGAGTGCCTGATCCATATGCAGGAGCCTCCATTTATTTATTTATTCACTTATTAATATATTTATTGAGCAACAGCAATACAAAGACTCGGAAATGATGGGGTGGACCCCCAAACACAAAAAAATGCTCATGTTTTTTCAACACCCACAGTCCCAATGTTTAAGCACAGTGTATAATGAAAGTAAATTAAAATTACAGACTAAAGGACAGAAAGAGAAAGGGAAAAGAAATGAAAGAACAAAAATACTAATAACCTAAAGTAAAAATAATAGTGAAAAGAAAAAAAAATCTAGAAATCTAAAATGGAAAAATATAAATAAACAACTCAGACTTGTCTCTCTTCTGGTTGGTCACCTTAGCAATCGCAAACCAGAACATCTGCAAACTAGTAACAACAAGGGACAACATGGTGGATGAACGGCAGCTTTGTAAATATAAACTTCTAGAGACATCCTTTGATTAGTCCATAAATATCACTATAGCATAAAAGCTGCGGATGCTGCATTTGCTCATTCCATTTTCTGTGCCATGAGCATAAGTGAGGCTTTAGACCTCGAAGCAGCTGCCAAGTTTTAATCCCAGTCCTGAGACTTATGCTCCAAGCAGCCATTTAGCTAATTGATTAAACTGTTGATTCTTTTTTTCAATTAATTGATTGAGAATCGGAAGACAAGAGGTTCCTTAAAGAAGTTTTAACACAGAATCCAAATCAAGTGAAGCTAAAACTGCGCCCTTTAAAGACTTCTAGATGGAGCACACTAATGGAGAAAAAGTTTTTTTAACCTTAAATGGAAAATATTTTTTACAATTTTCGGACATAACTGCTTTGAATAGGTTGCTCTTTTGGCTAAAGGCATATTTTAGAGTCTCTATAATCAAATTAACGATTAATTGATTATTGACAGTTAGTCAAGGATTATTTCAATAAATGATTACTCACAATGAATCCATTAATTACCACCAGAGACCTATGCTGCCTTCCTTTCTGCATTCTCTTTCCTCCCTTTTTCTTATCTGCTCTCTGTCAAAGTGGTAAAAAAGAAACATCCTCAAACATTTTTACCCACAGGATTACCATATCTTGCCCCTCCTTTCATTCTGAAATAAAGCTCCCCCTCAGCATCATGCTGCCACTACCATGTTTCTGTGTTGCAGGTTTCTTCTACCACAAAAAGTGTTTCATCAGGCCAGCAGCTGACTCTTTTTACCAAAAAGAGTCTGAAGCTTTGCTGGATTGTTTCAAAACCTTTTTTTGTAACCCATCGTTGTTTGGTTCTTAGATGTTTTCTACTTAGTATTGATCTGGCTGAGTAAAATCCCTATAAAATACATTCAGGTTTTTGATTTATATCACTAAAAAAAGTTTGACTAAAGCTCCTCAGAGGAGGAGTCATTGATCCATGCACAGAAGTTTGATCCGACCCACATAAATCTACATGTATAGAAAAAGATCCGGCTCACTGACCGAGCTGGGCGCCCCGTTTCCTGGACGTAAGACGCTCCTAAGCCACAGACGCTCGGCTATCTGATGTGCGGCCAAAGACGGCTTTGACACGGATTGGATTAAAACCTCTGCAGTGCTAAGGAATTTCCGAACCGTCGTGAGGAAAGAGAGGATGTGGGAAGTTTGTACACCGTGTATGGCTTCTCAGTGTGTGTGTATTCCAGCGGGGGATTGGTCAGAGGGACTACGCCGAGCGATGAGCCTCTACAGATGGTGAACAGACTTTGGTGAGGCGTCCCAACGTGAAACACAGACTGACGGGGAGCTAAAGTAGCCATGTGTGATGGATGTCTAACCATGTCTGTTCCTGTCTGTGGTTCAAGCATGCAGCCCATTAGTTACCTGACGTTTTGACTCTCGCCGCTTCCTCGGGAACCGTTGGAGCTTGGACTGAAAATAAAAACCAAACAGACCCTTTCATCTTGGGACTCTTTTTACTTTTTTATACAGATATATATATGATCTGTGAGTAATTCAATGAAAGATCTGAGCTCTTACTTTAGGACTAGATGCAGGTTAGCTGAGAGGCGTGGGTCTGTGAACTGCGTGGTTCGGTTGTTGTGGTCGACGAAGTAAACCCTTCCTGTGGCGGTGTTTCGGATCTCCCACCCTGGCGGTAGAGGGCCAAGTTCCTCACAGTTCACATTACTCAGGTCTCTGAGAACCAACACAGAAATAAACAGTTTTAGAACATAGAAACACTTTTAGTTACTAATTAACCAGTGTTTGACTTTGGGTAAGCTGCTGCGTGACCAGCAGGCCCAAAGCAGAGCTGTAAAAACGCTATCCATATTCAGTAGAGGGGAGAAGCCATCGGTCAAGTTTTATGAAGCCAGCACAGTGAGGCGTGTTTTTGGAAAAGCATGTGCAGATATTTTGCATGCAGCATTCTTTTAGAGTACAGTAATCAACAAGATCCGCATGCCTGAGAGCATCTGATAGGGGTCAGCTGAGATCGACTAGGAGTTTTTCAGGGCTTTTGTAGACCGAGTTAACATGATGTGGTCCTTTGCACGGCATAATCAGCTAAATGATAGAGGATATGCTTGCTATGACAGGTAACTCCGGCTCAGGGGGTTGAAAATGTAGAAAGTCCAGACTGGACTGAAAGACAACTTCATGCTTTTTTAAGAGCACTGGGATTTCTGCGTTGCAAAATAGGCAAATATAATCCTGGAATTGGATGCGAGAAAAGATGGAAAAATCAAGGAATTTTGAAACATGTGGATTTGATCAAAGAAATATGGATTTTTCTCCGTCCAACAACCAGACTGCAGCTGAAAAATGGTCAATTTGAGTCTTTTGCAACGGGAACAGACTCTGTTGTGAACAGGCCCCTAAAACGACGGAGGTAGTGACCTCGATCAAAGCCTGCTGTGTTTACGGAAGACAATATGGATGCTACAAATGCCGACGCGTGTGTTTGCATCCGACCTGGCTGTATAATCGCTCCGTCAGCAATGTCTGTCTTAATGTTTGTAAACAGCGCCGGTGCACATGCGAGCAGCGACCGTCTGCACGGAGAGTGAAGAGACAGAGCTGGAATCCTTCCCCTCCAAACCAGCACGCGATTATTAAACAGACCGCCCGTCACTACTTCCACAACGCTACTTTCATCCTTTGCTTATGTTCATTCCAGCATCATCAGTGGGGCAAACACTGGGAGTCTGGTTCTCTTTACAGGATCTCAGACTGACATCAATTTGAAAAGCATTGACCCGTAATACGAAAAAAGAAGAAATCAATCATAGAAAACCTGGTGTTGTTCTCATATCTAGAACGTCATATCTAAGATTTTACTCTTAAATGACAAGTGCGTTTTTTTTTTAGCACGTCCATTGCTCCCACACGAAGCATCAATGGAGGTCAGTGCTCCACATTGACTTGAAAATTAATTTAACTCTCAATGTACACTTCTGCTTGAGAGATGAATTATCAACAAGTCATATCAAAACAGAGGAAACAAAATGTGAATGTTAGCTTAAAGTACGTTATTTCTGTCTGCAAAGATCCAAAACAGGCAAGAACAGCTTTAACTAAAGACTTTTTTGCCCTATGTGTTGAGTCAGAAACTGCTTTAGAGAGATACATGTAACAGTGAGTAATAACTACAGTGAGGAAAATAAGTATTTGCAAGTTCTCCCACTTAGAAATCATGGAGGGGTCTGAATTTGTCATTGTAGGTGCATGTCCACTATGAGAGACATAATCTAAAAAAAAAAAAATCCAGAAATCACAATGTATGATTTTTTTAACTACTTATTTGTATGATACAACTACAAATAAGTATTTGAACACCTGGGAAAATCAATGTTAATATTTGGTTCAGTAGACTTTGTTTGCAATTAAAGAGGTCAAACGTTTTCTGCAGTTTTTCACCAGCTTTGCACACACTGCAGGAGGTATTTTGGCCCACTCCTCCACACAGATCTTCTCTAGATTGTTCAGGTTTCTGGGCTGTTGCTGAGAAACACAGAGTTTGAGCTCCCTCCAAAGATGCTATATTGGGTTTAGGACTGGAGACTGGCTAGGGCACTCCAGAACCTTGATATGTTTCTTCCAGAGCCACTCCTTGCTTATCCTAGGTGATTGTAATGTTGGAAGACCCAGCCTCAATGCTCTGAGGTAAGGAGGTTGTTTCCCAAAATCTCTCACTACATGGCCCCGGTCATCCTTTCCTTAATGCAGTGCAGTCACCCCCTCCCATGTGCAGAAAAACACCCCCAAAGAATGATGCTACCTCCCTTATGCTTCACGGTAGGAATGGTATTCTAGGGATGGTTCTTATTGTTTTAAAACTAAATACTGCCTTAATAATAAAAAAATGACCTTTTTTCTTCAATAAATGTCAGGTTTTACTGTTATTCAGGGAGATCTACATACGCTTGATTACCAAAACATTTGGCTGTGTTTTCCATTGAAATATCAATCCAGGGTTCCTACAACATAAGGTAAGTTAAATTCAAGAATTTTTAAGTGTTTTTTTTTTTTTCACCCTTGTAATAAAACTTTTACAACCAACTTCAAAATAAAGAAACAAAAACTGGTTGCATCAAATTTAAGCTGATGCTTATTTTAACATAAACCAGTACTTTCTGGCACAGTAGAAGTTTTTACCATTTTAAAAAACTTTCCATATAGGAAGAAAGCTAAAAACACACTAATAACAGATATATTTTTAACAACTAATGAATTGACTTCACAAACTTTGTTTTGATCTCGACTCAAATCCCATAATAGCTCTGCTTTTATAGCGGGCGAACCACCAACCATTATCTGGAGATTTGTTGCTACTGGTGCATTTTTTGACGTCGGAAATGGCTGTAGAGGCTTTGCAGAGTCAATGGTGGAACAGGACTGAGAAATAGCTGCTGCTTCTCTGTAACTCGATTTTGGAGCTTTGTTTTTCAGTCTTCACACGTCCGACTACAGAGCTTTGATTCCCATCCTGCCGAGCTTGAATGACTTCTTGCTCAAAATATGCCATTCCTCATATACATTATCTGGTACTGTTTTTAGCCGTGCAGAGAACTTAAAAAACGCTGGGGAAACGCTGGATAGCCAATTTTCATTGAATTTACACTTCTTGTTCAGATAAAAAGTTATAGGCGCATCACTCCAAGGTCTGTTTGCAACATTGTTTTAATTGCTTCTGCTGTCAGGATGGAACTAATAGGCCGTTCATTAAATGTAAAAAAAAATGATTTTGAATTATTTTAATTTTTGATATGAATTACAAAAATAAAATCCTATTTATGACTTGGTGGCAATTTTAAGACCTATGAAAGACTGATTTATGGCATTTTAATATCAATTAAGGCCTGATTTTTATATTGAAGAATTCAATGCCTTTTAAAACTTTTTAAGGATCCGCAAGAACCCTGTAAGCACTAAGTAATAAAACAGAATCTCAAATTTCCATAAGCTTATATTCTGAAAAGGCTACAGTGCACAGGGTATGTTGGTATTTTGTGGGATTCTCTAAATGTTGCCAAAGTTGTTTAGTGCTAAATACCCTTTAAGCTCTGTTAAGCAACTTGATTAGCGTCAAAGTCAAAAACTAGAAAACCTTCGTCTTATAATAAAAAGCAGTTGTAGGCATAAAGCACCATTTCCTTTGCTTTATGCGGTCACCAAAAATTAATGAGGACCTTTATCTAGAAAATCAGATTTGGACTTTTAATCATCAAAGTTTCCTTATGCATTCATCTGTATTAGTTGTCGGCATACAGCTAAAGGAAAGCAGAACAGTGATGGTGACTGTAAATCATACCTGGGTACCCTGGGGTCATGCCAGGTGCTGACACCTGTCTGAGTGTGGAGAAAGTAAACTTGACCCTGCTGCGTCGTCCTTTGCTCTGTGAAAAGACACCCAAGAGAAACCAAATGTAAGACATGATAAAGCTTTTACATTGTTTAAAGTAATTTATATTCCGCGCTCATGCAGACGGAGCCCGATCCGCCTGCGTTGGAGAGCGATCTGACAGATGGAGATGAAAGTCAGCGGAGGTCCCAGGAGGCAGCCGGGAAGAGTGAGCAGGGAGAGGAGGTGAGAGACGGTGAGGAGGAGAATAGAGACGAGACGTGGGGAGGGGTGGACACCTGAGTGTTCGGATGGCGAGCTCATTCATCACTCCCATTGAGCTTCCTGCCAGAAAGCTGTCCTCTGCCGTTCAGAGCCGTAACCTTCCAAAACCAACTCATGTTCAAAAACACAGCGACATCTTTAGGATGTGTAGGAGCAAAGAAATAGGAACTCCGGGTATCGCATACATAACGCTGCTCTTTATTGAACCGGTGAAAGGTTTCTCAGAGCCAAGGATATCTGGCACCAAGCCGTGGATCTGCAGGGTACAGGAAGTACCCTACAGGTCCAGTTACACTTCCCTGTTATTGTTTCCACTGTGCAAAGAGATGATTGCAGTACATTAGTGCTACATCCCTGTGATTTAAAGCGCCTTACTTTGTTTAAAGAAAGAGAAAAGATGGATTTCGGATCCAAACCTTGGAAAGCTTACAGGACGGATCTTTGTAAGGGAGTCTAAGTGTGCTTTCTCCTCAGTCTGCCATGTTAATACATTTCCAATGAATACGGAGGACAGCATATCTTAAAGAGCAGAGAGTGGAAGAGTCGGATTGATAGGAAATCAAGCGTAGAGACCTTGGGAGCCTCCTAATCCGAAGGAGTGAAGGCAAAGCTGCATTACAATTCCTTCACTCGGGTCCCAACCCCCACAGAGGATTTTACTGAGGAGAAACAAAACTTCCCTGTGCTTTAAGGAGAGATTGCAGCTTCTCTGTCTGCAATCTCCTACATGAATGCTTCTGATTGTTTTACTGTGGGCTAAAAGAGGAGGG